AATTACGCTGTGCATATACTGTACAAATGAAGACCTGTATAAGCATCTTAAAGGGCCTCTGATACAATATAGACAGTTGACAATTCAAAAGAGTTTGATATTTCAGCAATTTACCTCTGGAACTAATCGACGCGCCGTAATGTAAGTGAATGACGTCCAACGCCCAAATGACGATATTTGGAACTATTTCGATATCCATACCCCGGAAGTATGCGCAGCCATTTTTTAAAAATGAGGTCTATGGGAGTGTCGTAACTCTTAACTCTCTAGGGCTTTGGGTGGGGCAAAGTATTTTCTTTGCAGGGCTGAAAATCCGGGAAACAGGTTAGTCAGCGACGCGGATATATCAGCATGTTGTAGTGCCGAGGACATGGAGTCGGAGGCGGTGCAATGGAGATGTGAAAAGGAACTTTAATAGAGAGCAGAATAGCCCGGGTCGACAAGAGAAAGAGCCAAGAGGGCTCACACCATATATAGGCCACACATAACATGTCCGTGCGGGAACAATAGCCGCCACTGTAGTTCCCAGTTTGAATTATGAACCCAGTTTATAAATAGGTGGTCACCACAACCCAGTGTATAAATAGGTGGTCACCACAATGTACATATTACATAAAAAAAGGCTATTGCTAATCTAATTAAGATAATCCATCCCAGCAGGTTAGGTTTATGTAAAACAACAATTAAGCTGCATGAGCATTTTATTATTCACCCTTTAAAAGTTACATTTATTTACAATAAAACGTACTTATCCATATTGCTCATGAATGTATGACCAGTGGTTCATGTTAGATGTTAGGCTACTGTAATAGCCTTTCAGACAAACAAATATGCCGTGCCGTTGCTATTAGAAATAATGGCTTTCAGAGTGCCCATGTTGCATTGTGTATCTGAAATAACTATCATGTAGAACAGCCAATGTGGACACCCACTCTCTGAAATGACCTTTGATTGGCCAGTGTCCCATCTATGGCCATAGTTTCCTTTTGTGTAGTTATTTTTTGGATCCAATAGCAGCTGCAGTAGGTTTTTTTCTCTCAGACTGCCTGAATGACAATGTCCATACCATAGCTTCAACTTGAATTGTGATTGGGAGGATCACAGCTATTTATCCGTTATTAACCACTTTTATCCACATGCTAGAAGTGCAAAAATGGATGAACACACCCAACAATGTGCGCTTATTTAAAATTAAAAAGTCCTTTTGGATTATGCATAGCTCATTTAATTATGTATAACACTGTTTGGACACTGTTTGTGCAGAGTAAGAGGTGCTGTAGTCACTGGTACAACTGTTGTTAACAAAAACATAAATGTCTTGAATCTGAGAAAGAACAAGGACTTACACTTTGTACACCAATTGAATAAAGACATCAGGTTTAAGCATCACAATTCATAGCGTTAGTGCTCCAGTTGATTCATTTATTCTAGAGATACAAAGACTTCGGAACATAATATTGTTGTGAGAAAGCTCCTGCTGCTCCTGATAACAGTGAACACACAGCATGAGAAAAACAAAGGAGCAGTGATTCACTCAAGGTCAGCCCCTGCCCTCAGGTCCAGCTGACTGTAAATCACTCTCGATAGGAGCATCAGCCAAATGCTTAAAATGTAAATATCCTCATGATGGTGTCTGAACCCGGCGCCAGGCCCGCGGGTCCATCAGCCGGCCGGGCAGCGTTGGCAGGGAGCAGATGGGGGGGGGGAACGGAGCCATCCTCTGATGAGCCATTGGGAGAGGTTCACTGATTACACTAATTTAACGGATGAGTTTAATTTCAGTCTGCTGGATGCGAGAACCAGGACAAATCATGGCTCTTGTACAATTTAACTTTACCTTTCATCTCTTTGTGATCATCAGTTCTCTCCACACTGCTGACTTTGAGTTGTTATACTGGAAAATGTGTTGCATGTTATCAGCAGGACTTGAGATAAGGGATAGCTACTTTATAGTCCTCTACATTTGCTTGTTAGCTTGTACAGTTGTAGTATACTCCATTGATTGACCTTTTTTGGACTCAGTTCTGGAGCTTGTTGTGTTTCTTGATCACAGACAGATTTGCAGAGAGAGCATTACTCATCTCTGGTCTCTTTAATGATGTGTTTAGGGGGCTCGAAATTTGCAATTTAAAACATATAAAGTAGAAGAGTAAAACAGATTGCTATACAGAGTTTCTTATCTAGCCTTTTTTATCCTTTGGCCTGTCCTCGTTTGTTTTACAACGTTTTATGTTGCTGTGTTAGTCAGGTCTTTAATAGAAGTTTCAAATGTAAATGGGACTTATCTAGTGAAAGGTGGGGTAGGTAAGTTTGAGAAACCGGCTCGAGCACTAACACTTTTTGTTATATTCCATGGAATGCTCTTAACATCCCGATAGCAATGAATATCTTAAGTGCTTTGACAATAAATCCATAGAAAAATGTCATCTGTGGAAGCCGTAGTACTGTAAAAAGCACGACCAATCATTTTAGCCGGCCCTTATGCCCTCATTGGTCATGTGCGCGTTCGTGTGTGTTGGAGGAGGAGCTTTGTAAGGAAGTGGCAGATTTTTTCCGGTTGTGTATTTTCAAATTCTAGCGCACTCGAGCTGGTTTCTCCAAAATTACCTACCCCACCTTTAAGTAAATGTTAAAATTACAATTATCCTTGTTATTTAGAGTATAATTGTCCTTGAACGATAGACTGTACAACTTTGAAGTACATGGAAATGTCTCTATTACTCCAATCAGTTTTTAATACATTCTTCATACTTTTTAAGAACAGGTTGTCATTGAAACTTGATCTTTCACGTTCGTCTTTAGATTAAGTTAAAGGGGGCACATTATGCTAATTTTTGAAATGTTTATAAGCTTTCATATTAAAAAAGGTCTTTATTTTCTCATACTGCCTGTAGTGAATAGCCCAGTCTGCTCCACCTCTTAAAGATGTCCCGCCCCTTAGCCTAAGTGTGTAGTAGCTGTAGCCAATAGAAGCGTGAGTGTTACATAATGATGTCACTATTTTCAGGAAGTAAAAGGAAATGAGTCCAACGGAGGCATTTCAGGGAGGGGGGGGAGTCTGTTGGAGAGAAACTCCCTTCTAAATGGAACACAGGGATTGTAGCCTTTGCAGACTACTTACATGCACAAAAACCTACAACTACAGGAAAGTGGAAAGCACAATAAGACCCCTTTAAGGAATACTTTACCATTCGGCAGATATTTACATGAGAATATTATAAACGATGTTGTGCAAGATGTAAATGTGCCTTTGTTTTTCTACAAGGAACAAATAATGTAGATTTTGATATTTCCTGAGTAACATGGTGCAGTGAGTTGTAGAAACAGCTTCTAAAACCTCCTTTCCATTTTCCAACCTGAGTATATCCTCGACAGCCTTCTGCGGAGATAATAGAGAGCTTATCCCACACTCTTTTGTCCTTCCTTCACAGAGCGGCTCACAGCTTCTGAGCTCAACTTTTCAACAAACTTCTGTAAGCAACTGACAAATTGTTCAACTTTTTTTAAATGTGGGTTGCCCTGGGAACAAGGCACGCCTGCTCACTTTCAGCTCAACATAGATTATGCTTCCAGTTGACATACAGACTTACAGGAGACACGAAGTGGGGGGGGGGTCTGTGAGATTTCTGTGGGAGTGAAATCATGTGAGAGACAGATAAAGCTCTTCCCGGAGAACCTCGGGAGTACACATCACTTTTTTTTTAGGATGCGGCTTGTCACTGCGCATCACCCAGACAGCCGAGCAGCAACTACAATAGGCAATTAGAAGCTCCCATGGAAGCACAGGAACACACTATATGAAAGGGAGAAGGGGGGAGGATGTGGGGGAGAGGGGTGAGACTGGGATCCTTTTGAAGAGTCTGATCTCAGCAGGAGAAGAATCACAATCACCTTTATTTACTCGCTGAAAAACACCGCACTCTTGAAGAATTTGTCTTTGTGCTGTCAGTGCTTAGGAACGCAATCACACAACAGTCGCACACTCAGCTCTGATGGCTTTAAATTGTGCGCAGAGGAAGAAGAAAGGCCCACCCCTCCTTCCTCCAATTACTCTCTTTTTCCAGCCTGAAGTAGTAGCAGGTGGTTGATGTTTTGTTATGTGAAAGTTGACAGGAAGGGATGAAAGTATCCAGAGAAGTGTGCCGTCTTTAACTCAGCGCCCCCGTCCCATTCTCCATTTCGACCACTGACCTCATTTTTCAGGAATGTAAGTGCTCCGAGTTTTTATCCCTCATTAATACGAGGCAATGAGGGGAAGTGCATCGTGGGAGAAAGGGCAGCCGTCATTCTTGTGGACCCCTCAACGGTCCAAGTTGACGGTTGGAGAATCCCCGCCCCCTGCCCCCCCGATTGACAGGATGCAAACTGACACACTGTCCACCTTAGTCTGGTCACTTACATGTGTGAAAACAAACATAGAAGAAGAAAATTGTTGCACAGATGACATGCTATGAAATACATTGATAATCTTCCAGATGTTTTATTTAAGCAAATAGTACAATCTGGAGGGAACACAGCCTTTGCAGACCATTTACATGCACTAAGACCTATATAGCACACTACAGGAGAGGCAAAACTCCCAAAAAGCACAATAGGGCCTCTTACTTTGAATGGAAACTTAACTGTCCCTCTGAAAAAGTTTCTATTATTTTGTTCCCTGCTCTGTTGTGAATCTGTAATTGTGTGGGTCAAACCTGCTCCGTCAACATAAGAGATTTAAAAAAAAAAAGAAGCTCCTTCAGCTGTCAGATGTGGTGTGGCAGTGTTATTGATCAGGAGAAACGAGGACTGAAGGTTGCATCCTGCCTTCCTGTGTGTTTATTTAGCCTACAGTGAGAGAGAAAATGTCCTCCGAATGCCAATTAAGCCGGTGATGGTCAGATCATTGTCACGGCGCGCTGATGACTGGCAGGCCTGACATGCCGGCTAAGGCATGTGGTTCCTTTAATTAATTGCCAGAGGCTCGGATACACGTGGGCGGACTGAGCGAGTATGGTTGTCGACGGAGAGCAGAACTCACGCTTCATATCATTCTGTGTGAAACAAAGGGTGAGAAATGTAGGCAGAGTAAAGCTTCGCTGCCCTCTGACAGAATGAAGTGTTTTTTTTCCTGCGCGATTGATCTCCCAAGCACAATTTGTTGGTTTCTGTAGAGCTATTTGTCCAAAATGTACAGCATTAATCAGAGGGTAAGTTATAGGTTAGCTTTTATCTCCCTGTTACAGTGCGTGTCTGTATTTGCACCAGTGGGCCTCTGCAGCGATGTGTGTCCCAGGGGCGGCAGCCAAATGTAGGCACCAAAAGTCAACATTAGCATTTCAGAGGCCCATCTATTTCAATTAACTTGATCTTCTTTAAGATTTCCCAGAAATACCCGGGAGCCCGAAGCAGTATCAGGCATTGGCGGGCTCCAGAGTTGGGTTGCCATTTCAGAGTCTTTATGCATCAAACATTTAAATTCATTATCCTCCATAATTAAAGCAAATATATCAAAGACTGCTAACACTTGCAGCGATACTGTCCGCGATCTCCAGGGGGGCCGAGGCCCAGGCCTGCAACCCAGGTGGCTTCTAAGATGTTCAAACAGACACATAATAAATATAGCGTCTTGTTAAAGGCATCCTCAGGGTCCCCTTTAATAATTTAACCCCAAAACAGTGAGCCATCTCAGCCTACGTCATTATCGTTTTCCGGGGAATTATAATAGCCACTCTGATGGTGGTGACATCATTTTTAGTGGCAATACAGGGCTTTTTCCCTTGTAGAAAATTGTATCACACTTCTGTGATGCTTTCAAAGGAGCATTAAGAGTGTGTCTGTGGTGCTACTCAGAGAATTAAACCTGACACTACCATAATTGTTGGTATATGTCTTCTCCTTTCAGGCATATAGCAGTATTCTAGCTTTTTAAATGGCACCCTTTTTATTTTTGATAATTTTTGTCCATAGTGCTTTATGTTTTAAATGGTTTATATGCCTCAAGGCAAAATAGTATTAAGCCTTGCCTATGCTTGAGTGATAATTGGTACAATCACTTTTCAGAGGAAACTAGAGAGCTGTCTGAGCAGCCACACTGCAAGAAATGTCAACAGCAAAAGGTCCTTAAAGATAAAATAGCACTTTTAGATTACGAAACAGAAGCTACACAAGGCACTGAGATATGTTTCCTCTGGTTTGAGGCCTTTGAGCTCATGGGACTCGTATGGACTCACTTTGAAAGCCATGAAATACCTGCACCAGCAAAGGGGATTCTCAAAGGGATCAAACGGGATGATCAGCTCGTGGCGAACCTGAAGGGCAACCGGGGGACCAAATGGACATTTCGGGCTGTTTTAGCAACAAGAAAGGACGGGGGTAATAGAGTGGTTCCAAAATGAATCCTAGACACAGAGATTAGTTCGCATTTTTTCATTTCCGTGTACCCACGCACAAGTCAATGTTTTTTTTGAAATTATTTTTGCTTAGATGAACGAAATAAGGTCTATGTTTAACACAAGCCTCGGAGATATTTTTATTGTTTTCTACGACCTTAAATATGTCGGTAAATACCTGAGGTCAGAAGCCTTAACATGTCTTCAAAAAGGCGGTTGCTAACAAGTGAATAAACAAGACCACTTAACATGTTCACGACAAACATTTGTTGCCTAAAGGTCGATGTACGTTTTTTTAGTTTGATCGCCCAATTATGGGGAAAACAAAATATAAAACTAAAAAAACTAAATGGAATGCTTAGTGAGATGTCATGCAACCATGATGTATTTTGTTTGTAGCATTCTGTTAGCTATTTACTTCTGAAGGGGGCATTTGGGTAGCCACTGGGGAAAGTGGGTTAACAAGATGGGGGAACCACCTGGGCCTCCCGCGTGCAGGACATGCGGTGCCCCTCTGCAGGCGCCTCTGTCGCCACTTTAAAACGGTGCCAGGGACAAAGCCATGTGAACAGGATGGACATTTTTTGCAGTGCGGAGCTCAGCGGTGCAGAAGTAGCGCTGTCTGCTGGCTCGGGTCTGCTCACCGCCGGCTAGACTCAAATCACATCCCACCCCCAGCCTGTGGTGACACGGTTTCATCCTCTGCGAAGTCTGTAATGTGTGGTTTTCAACAGTGAGAGGGCGTACGCTTTCAGAGGGAGGCCGAGCCTGTAAAGCGGCAGTGGGAGGGCTTCTCCGTGTTTTCGCTGGTTTTGAGAGCAGCCTCGACGCCCACCGAACAAGGCGGAGCGCGCATCAACATTTCGCCACTGCCGCTGCCCTGATTAGATCCACTGAGAAGCGGAGGAGAGCAGACACCCACAGAGAGACAGGGAGGACTGCTATCTTTCTGGAACTAACACAAGGTGAGCTCCACATTTCTCCTTTAAAAAATGTGCATGTATTCTCTGGAGTCTGGCAGGCGAAGCATTGAGGCAACACAACAAAGTTCTTTCCGATAGGGTTTTGCTTTGTTTGGCTGTGAAAAGGTGGCAGCCGCATCCTCCTGTTTGGCTTTGTCTGCACACTTCTGCATGGGCATTGTGTCCAGTGAGTCTGGCAATATGAAATGCATGAATGTACCATTTATTTATCACACATATTAGAGTCTGCACGCTTCTTTTCATTGTTTTTTTTTTTGGAGGATTTTGACATTTGAATTCCCATTTCCTAATTTACTGATATTTCACATTTATTCACAATGGGCCACAGGCATTTTTTACTGCTTTATCTGAATCCTTTGTTGCTTCACTATCAGACGTCCTTTGTGTTGTTATCTGAATTCCTGTAGCTCCACCACACATTTCCCATTTTCTCTCTAATGTCATTGACACCCATTGTTACAGTGTTCAAAACCAATAAGGTTAACTTTGAGATGAGATTGACCTTACTCTTGCAATCCTACAAACAAGAATGTGTGCTTTTTGTGGGATAAAAACACTTTGGCCACCTCCTTCTATGTCCTATGTTCTTTTTAGGGTATATTATCTTGTAAAAAAGCATCTTTCCTGCTGCCTCCTGTAGTGGGGAGTGCAAGGCGAGAATGAAATGTAAGTGGCTTACTTCCTCTCCCCGGTGTGTTTTCAGTTGCACAATAAGAATTGATAAGTGCTCCTGCTGAGCTGTCTATGTTCTGCCTGAAGAAAGAGCTTGTTGTTGTTTTCAGTTTTGTAAAATGCAAAAAAAAGGAAAGGGTCCAAAGAGGATTCCCAGCTATCTAAATTTGAAGTTTGGTTGCACTCTGTAAACGCTGCATTCTTCTTTTCTCATTAAAATTCTTCTTCTTCCCCCATGAATTAGAAAAAACCCTGTAATCCCCCTGCTTCTTTTTTTTGTTGTAATGCCTGATTTGCTGCTGCTGGACTTCATCCAACATTTAGGATGTGTCAACTCTCACTTAATTCTCTGCTAACTTAATTGGCTTCAGGATTACTGCGTTAGAATGAGAGTTTATGTCAGTTTGATTTCTTGTTCTGCTAGCTGTAAACCTTGACTGCCTTCTGGGCTCTTTCCTCCTTGTCTATAAAACCATTTCCCGCATCTTTTTTTGTCTCACAGTACACTGATGATCACATGCAATAGAAGACATTGGTTATGTATAGGCAGTGTATGCGTGTTTTGGGGGGAGCTTCGAGCACCCACTTTAAATTCAATGTAATATTCTGTGTATGTTGTCACGGCTTTGGCTTGAGAACGTTTTTATAAAAGCTTAAAGACGTGTAAATGGAAGGGCGTGGACATTTACAAACCTTGAACGGTTTAACAAAAGATGCTAGTGAGTTGCATTATGGGAAATGTAATATTGTGAAATTGTCATTACATACAACCCTTGTTTGGTTGTGGAATTTTGGAGATCTTCATCTCTTATCCAGTGTTCAACAATTGATTTATGTCAATATGTGTATTGGGTTTACTCAATAGGGATTAGTGTTGGTGACTCACAAGGAGAAGATGTAGTAACAAGTCAAGCCTGCACAATGTTGTTCGTCCAGTATTTAGAATATTATTATTGAAGGGATGGTTTACATTCCTGCAATTGCCAAGTTCCCACTGGCTGATTATTTCCTCTAAACAACAGTCACATGAATCCGTAAGATGCTTGTTTTTTGTACGGAGTTGAGGTGACCTGTCAACCTGCCAGGTTAGAGAATTTGGCAGCGAGACGGCCAGTCAAAACAAAGCGAATAGCACTCGGCACTGGATTTGTTTGTACAGTTTGGGATTAGAAACTGGATCTTTGTTTTAAGCTAAAATGTAGAATACTGAGAGGAAAAAAAGGTCCAGCGCTACAAAGAAAATATCTATCTCTGTTATTCAAATGAATCCGTTACATTTTCTCAAGTTGATTTGTACAAGATATGGAACTGAACATACGTAATACTAGGAATCCCGATGATTCTTGATGTTGGTATTATTAGGAGTGGTCAAAATAACCTGAATGCTATCAGGCCCTGCAACCAGTCCAACCATTTGAAGGTCAACATGTTGAGACTTTTCCTACTTGGAGGCCTTTTTAAAGACAAATAACTGTTATACTGTAGCCATTGGTTTACACAGGAGAAGCTCCAACTCCTGGCCAACATTAAGTGGACTCTTGTGTTGGGATTTGTAGTCCAATGAAAATAAATCTTTATGCGATGAAATCAAATCTGGAGGATAGCCTGATAAGGGTTGAGCCTGTAGACATATGTATTTTTGACTTTATTTAGTGACAAATAACAGATTAAAATGGATAGAGAAGGCAAAGTACCCACTACCAGTAGACCTATTTTTCTCCAAGGTGCAGCCAAGATGTCTTACATTGCAATATATGTTGTCTACTTTAAATCAACCTTTTTATTTTCTATGGTAAAAAACAGCAGCAGAAGGGATGATATTTCAAATTAAAATAACCAAGTTTAATGAAGAGGGATATCCCTGCTTTTATTTTCTTGCAGTTTCTTGAAAGAAACAAACAGATTATGCAGATTGATAGCATTTAGCTGCTGCAGCCATTGATTCTCAGGAGGAATATGTCACCCCATATCACCTACACTTACCTATATTTACTTTGCGTTATCTAACAGCTGCCTGATACCTTCTGTGAGCAGTCAGATGGAATGAAGGTAAACATTGCCTGTGAGTTTGCTGAGGCATGGTTCTTTAGACACGTTCACAGGCACAGCTTGAATTTGTCCTTAAGAGCTTAAGTTGTCCTGGCATCTTATTCCAGCCTTTCTCTATTCCTCTTACTTTGGAGGCGTGTGATATATTTGAAATGTGATGCTGGGAGTTTGGCAACTGAAATAATCTCAGCTTTGTTATTTGTAAAAATGAAACGGGCACATTCATTTGATTTAATTCTTCCAACAGTTGAATGATGTCATAAGAATTAGCATTTATAAATGAGTTTGGTTTTAAAACTGAAGGAAGATTCTTTATCAATTTTCTGCACAAATGCATCTTCTCTGTGAGGCTGTCTTAGACATAATGGTGCTTTTTAAATGCTAATGTCAGCATGCTCACAATGGACCCCTGTCTTCACTTTTCATAACCAGACATAATGTATTTTTATGATGTCCTTTTTGTAGTATAGTGGCACTTAGATGCTGCTAGAGCTAGCCTTCTATCCACAGTCATAACAGTTATTTTGTTGGTCTAGCATTAATGTTGCCCTAACTTGATTTCCCTCAACGTAGCCACTTTATGCTAAAACAAAAATGTATGACCCCTACATTAAGCCATCTCCACTGCAGAAAAGAGTTGGTAATGGACTGAGAAATACTGTTTAGGGTTATTTATTATATTTAAAACAACTTTAAGAACGTTGTGTTCTGGGTTAGACTGGAGCACAGCTGGGTTAACCGGCTTAACCCTCAAAAATGGTGATTGAAAGTCATGATTTTCTGCCACGCTAGCACCTCCTGGGCATCTCAATGCGTCACATTAAATAAATATGACACGTTGTTCATTAACTAGATCAATGAGTTCACGTTAGCCTCAGATTGAATGTGTCCAGCTGATGTTGATGTCAGCTGATGGAGGATTCACCGCCTGTAGGATTAGCCCACATTCTCCATCAACAGTTATCTCTGCCCTGCGCTGGTTGTTTCTGTAACCTCTCCGGGGACGTACAGTCCAGATCCACGCCCCCCTCCATACATCATTTCCCACTTTATTCTACTTTCCATTTTCCAAAACGGCACCTCTGCTGTCCCCTCTATTAATTCCCCCTCTCCCTAGACAGTTGGCAGGACTGCTTCCACCTTTCCCTCTGCTTCATTTGCATCTTGGCTCCACACGGTTGCCCAAGTGCTTTCTGGGAGTCAGGTGGCTAATTGGTTCCCATCTGTTGGGAGAAAGCAGCCTTCACGGATCCTGGGTAATTTGTGTCAGGAGTTTTGCCGTATTAATTTAGTTTCTTCCCTCCCTGTTTTACTTTTCTTCATATTGTCTCAGCAGGTGAGCATTGAGGTGTAGCTTTGACATCTTCGTGGTTGCTTTGCATTGCAAGACAAAGCGTTTGAGAAGCTATTGGAACAAAATGTGTGCACAAAATGCGTTATTTAGTTTTTATCGTGTTACGGCCCGTCCACACTACAGCTTCAAAAAAAGCTTGCCGGCGGGCGTGTCTGAAGCTCGACCAACAACCAATCACATGAATCTCCCGCCCCTGACACACAAGCAGCGGTTTGATTGGCTAGAGCTTGTACTGGCATATGATTTGATTGGCTGACGCTTCCACCGAAAGCTTCAGAAGCTTCAAAAGTTGAACATTGCTCAACTTTTGCAGCCTGAAACGCCAGGAAAGCTCCGCTCTGCTACCCACAATTCAGTTCGGCGAAAAGCGAGGCAACGTGACGTCACCCCATTCAAAGTGAATGGGCAGACGCGTTGGAAACCGTTTTTGAAGCTGTCGAAGCTGTGGACGGGCCGTTACTGTGTCATTTGTGAAGCTTCCTGAGGCAAGAGGAAGGATAGCAATGTAGTAATATCTGTATTTTGCAGCCACTTTTATTCTGATCTGCAGCGCTCTTCTGCTCTGAACACATAACATGCACTTCCTGCAATCTGAAGGTTTGATTTTCAAAATCACTTATCTGATGCACGAGAATAGCTTTCTGTGTAAAGATTAGGGTTCAAAAGGAGGAAGTGGCTAGGATAGTGGTCTAGCAAGTGCCCCGAGAAACAAAAACAGGAAGTGACAGGATAAAGAGACGCTTGTTGAATTCATTGGTACCTAAAGAGGAACTTTTTCTCCATTCATCAGACATGCTAGCTCTCACACGACACTTTACTTTACATTTAACATTCAACATCAACATAGAAAACCGTGTGTGGTCTCTGAGGGTAGATATTTATAGAAAACCACAGGGGTTCATTTAGT